CTAATTTTTCTGTTTTTAATAGAGGTGGGATCTCACTATTGCCCAGGCTGGTTTCAAACTCCTGACCTCAAGCGATCCTCCTGCCTTGGCCTCCCAGGGTGCTAGGATTACAGGCGTGAGCAACTGCGCCCAGCTCATGTTTTTTGAGTGAATTGTGTGATAGATGTATATCTACCTGCCATGTCAAACTATACATAAGAATTTTGGTGATAAATACTTTGATGGAAAAGAAGGGTCATATATAAAGACACCTAATAAAAATGTAGTTCTTTTTTGTTCACTATTAATGGGATCAGGATCAGGAAAAGTGGACATGTTTGTTTTTAATTGTATTGGCTTCTTCCTGAATGGTATATGTTAGTTTATTTGTATGATTTTATATTATAAATTGCTTGCTAGTTTTATTCGCCCATTTTTAAACTTGCCCTCTATTGTTGGAGGTAGGTAAATTATTGTTTAAATCAAAATACTTCTTAAAATGGAACTTTTAAGAACAGTGGTATATTATCAACTGTCTCCATTCACAATAATGTGGTAGTATACCTAAGTTACTTTTACCTTCTGATAAAACTAACCTTAGAATTAGGCTTCCTGTCCTTATTCTCACATTCAGTGCTTTTTATTCCCTGATCCTACCTTTTCTCTTCAATTTTTTCTTCTCCTCCCTTAACATTTTTTTATTCCTAACAATTTCTTATTTATATTGTAAAACCAATGTTAATCTTAAAATCACATATCCATATACTTATTTTCTTTTTATTGGTTTCACTTAAATGCATGGTTTGTTAAACACTGCAAACAAGTATTTGTAGATTATATGCAACAAATAGGGACTGTTTTTAACAGAATTTATCCTTCTTCCTTTTAAAAATAAATAAATCCTGAATATATTTTCGATACTACTAGTAGTCAGTACCCACCCCTCTTCAAAATTCAACACAATTTGCAACATTTTTTATTATACCTGTTAGTTTAAACAATTTAAACTGCAGCTGGATAAAGGATGCTACTTACATTTTTCCCTCTTGAGATTAATTTTCAGAGACATGTTATTCCATAGGAATGTGGCACTTTTTGCCATGCTTTCATCTTAAGGTTTATACTTAAATGACAGTGTCTTGGTAAGAAGAAAAAAATTGTGCTGTATTTTCCTCC